TAGTACTCCTGTGGTCAGTTTTTTTTTCTCTTCCCATGGTAAGTTCAACATTTTTTCTATTTGAAACTCTTTTTTGCCACAGGGCATCAGTATTCAGACTTCATCAGTCACCAGAAAAGCTCTTCTGGGTTTCCTAAGATTGCATAGAGGAGAAATTTGCAAGCCAAACTCTAGCTTACAAACCAGGGAAAAATGGAAGTCAGTTTAATTGAACAGAGCCTATATTAGAACAAGCTCCCTGGCATTTGGAGTATTTATTCCGTGAACTCACATGATTTTCTAAATTTTTATTTTGAAACTTCTCTAACAACAACAACAAAAATGACTGTATTGTTAAATGTAGGTCAGCTGTAACTTTTGTGATATCTGAAGTGTTCACGTTACAATCCTGAGTGTGAAGCTAACACATACTGGCTTTTCCAGAACATCGGCTCCTGATGACAACTGCATTTAGATCCTGAGACATGTGAAAGCATATGTAAAGTTGACAGAGTTTCTTTGGTAGCTCAGGAGTTGTGTGAGAAGAGTGGTCATGTGAAGTATACTTAAACTTTTTTCTTCTTTTTTGCCAAATTAAGACAACTTTGAGCTAGAAAAAACATCACTATCTGCAAGGGCAGACTATCCAATGCCATTAGAGACAGTGCAGAAACTTTTGAATGTGGTAAAATCCTGTCAACAGTAAATGACTTCAGACTGCTAGGATATGATATAATCTGAATTATTCTGCACCTGTGACTTTTGTGATTAGTCAGTGAAATTATTTATTAGTGAGATTACTCATGAAGATGCAAGTGTTATGGGGACTGCCATTTTAATGAGTGTGCCACCTAAGACCATGTGTGTTGTGTATCATTAGCATTTGTAGCGTTTGAACTATGTGCAGAACGGTGACCAAAATGATGACACACTAACCAAAACAGAACTATTCAAGATTTTCTTTTTTGTAAAGTTACTTTATTAGTAGCCCTTTCCCCTTAAAAGGCAGTAACCTGATCTCTCTTAAGTATAAGCTAAATTAAAAATGGAACAGTTATTGGCATGAAATGTACATACATTAGAAGCATGTAAATACTGACTCAATTTCTAATGTGAGGTGGTGGAAATGAACACCAGTGAGGACTTGTGATGTTTTTTTCTAGCATATTAATTGAGATAAACTAGTGAATGTTGCAATAACTTTCAGTTATGTTTAACAAGCCTGCTTTGGAAAGAATAGTAACTGTCGACTGATATCATAGCAATAGAATGAGCCTGTATACGATCAGAATTGAATGGCTTTTAAGAATTTAAGGGTCTCCGAAGTGTTATAGATGTTATTGTATATATAAGATGTAGACTGTTCTAGCCTTCAGAAATAAAGTTATACGCAAAATTATGAGCCCTAGAGCCTGTCGGGGAAGTTAAAAAAGGATTCATTTTCACTTGCTTGTAAAATAGATTCCCAGCTACAAAGGAAGCGTCTTTACTAGGAACCATGATGGGCCCCAAAGCAGTGTGGCACAAATGAAGAGCAATATTTATGAATTATTCTTATACCCAGTCATTTGTCACTGACAGAAGATGAATCTGTCAGTGATTAAACCCTTCAGTCCTACTCTATCCTCAAACTCAAATCCTACTCAAAGTCTTGGAATTTAGAAGTATGTCAAAATTATCTTGAATTCCCTCACACTACTATTTTTTGAATGTAAAAAACACTATACAGAGAAAGATTAACACAGCATTTAATAGTTTTATGCAACATTCAGGTAAAGATCTTTTCAGTAAAGCACAATTGTGAAATTGCTGCAAAATATAAAAACATTCAGAATGATGGCAGTGTAAGAATATTATTTACACATCCTAACTCAATTTTTAAATCAGCTTTTAAGTACTAAGCAGTTTGTAGCTGCTGATCTGATTTATTTTATTTTATTTATTTTGGTACCATATGTTGTCATCTGGTACTTTTAATGTGAATTGAAAGCTGCTATTGAAATATACTGCATATCAGTACTGATTAATACAGCATTTTCACAAAAATACCACAAACCATACAAGTTTTCGTCTATCAAAGTGAATAACTGCAATAGTTGTGTAAAAATAAACGTCTCAGAATTAATATTTTCAGAATTGTGAAGATATAATTGTATGTAGGCAATATTATTAATTAATGTGCAGGTTTGATGCAGTTCAGTGCCAAAATGCATGTTTTTCCAAATAGCACTAAAATGAGGCAAAGAAAGTAGTTTTGAAATTGTGACTTGTCACATTATAATGTAAACTAATTTCGACATTTTGGTTTGGTTTGTGTGAGAACTCCTGCACTATTTTTGGCTGTATTTTCCAGCAGTCCACTGCATGCCATTTGTGTAAGGATTCTTTCTATAATTCTTGTGAACTGGCTCACCCATAAATAACCCATTGGCATTGGAATCTAGAGTTTTGGCAAAGTATTTTGTTACCACAGTCTTGTATCAAGTTGCTGTATTTTTCAGTTTGTTACATTGATAATGATAATGATTGTTTCACTAATTAAATAATGTAAAAAAAAAAAGTTTGTTTACTTCATCAGGTTTTAAGTTTAAAAATGTGCAGAGTATGTTTGTTCTTAATAAAATGTTCTGAAAAAGAATGGTAAAGGTATAGAAGGAACATTTTAGCTCAAAGGCAGAAAGTATGTCTTATTTGTGAAAGAATGGAAATACAGTTGAAGAGACTTACCGTCTACCGTGTGTAGCCATTTAATAGTATTAATACAACAGAATCCAAATTTCTAACAGAAAATTGAAAACCCTCCAAATTTGTGGTTCTTTCAAGTGGGATTTGGAAAGTCTGAAGAAGTAGAGATGAACCTTCCTAATGTTTTCCCAAGAAATATATTTTATCACTGCCAAATTTGCATGTTGATTTGGATAGCAAAGTGAATTTCTTTGCATTTAGAATTAAACTTTTTTTACACGCCTGGATTCTCAGCTCCACCCACTGAAATCAACAGGAAAAAAAACCCTTCATCTATGAATAAAACTATCTGCCCTGCATTACACAATGCATTGGTGTAGATGTGTAATAATATCTTCTGGTATTAAAATCTGAAATTTCCTTTCTCATTTCAGTGATGAAGTCAAGGTTAAGAGAGAACCTTGCATGCTGAACAGAGCTGACAGGGATAGCCTAGCAATCATCTCTTCAGTAGAACTTTCTGTTGGAAAAGTTCAACATGGAGATGTTGGTCAGCATCCATCATCTTTGATAGCTTATTATATGGATCATTTTCTCTCAATTCCCGTGTGTAAGGACGGGAAGAGACTCACATGGATGAGTCAAGACCTGCTGGTCAAACTACAGATCAAGGAGGAACTGCAGAGGCAGTGGAAGCAGGGACAGGGATCCTGGAAAGAGTATAGAGACAATATCCCTTTGCTTAGTGGTGAGGTCAGGAAGGCCAAGGCATAGCTGAAGCTGAACTTGGCAAAGGATGCAAAGAATAATAAGGGCTTAAGGGCTTCTATAGGTATGTCAGCCATAACAAGAAGTTCAAAGAATACATATACTCCC